TCAAAAAATGCTACTTTTCAAGTGTCACTTTACAAAAATGCCATATTTTTGAAATCTTTATAAAATTGCCACTTTTTCAAAATTATTTTTTTTTATATTATTTATGTTTGGATTAATTATGTTCTATTAGGGTTTAGTTTTGAGTGTTTATGAGATTTTAGGTGTCAAAATATTTTTTAGGGTTTAGAATTTTAAGATATAGGCTTTATAAATCTATAATTAGTGGCATTTTTGTAAATAGACACACCTAAGTGGTATTTTTGCATATGTGCACACAAAAAATGGCATTTTTGTAATTGCCCCTTATAAATTTGGTGTTTATAGTAAATAATTATCTAAGTTATAAGACATAATTTGTATCAAATTATTGGACATATACAATGTCATATGATTTAAAAGCTATGAAAGCATTTAAAAACGTTTGAGTTCTAAATTTCTCTAATCAGATTTGTTGGATTCAATAACCCTAAAAATTCTAAAATCATTCTTTAATTAATTTTCTCACATCATTTTTTTTTCATGTTATGCCTCTTCTTATTAAAGCTATTTCTGTGATTTTGTTTAAATTTAAAATCGCAATAACCTATATAAAAGGCAAAAAAAGAATTACTTGTTTTTGTATAGGATATTGTTGGATTTTATAAATAAAATATACATTTTCTATACAATTATTTACATAAAAATTATATTATAATTTACATAAGAATTACATAAATCTATACAAAACACTTAATTGTAACTTATTATAATTAATTTACATAAAAATAGCTATTTCATTGTTAGAATTAATTGCTAAAGTTATTAAAACACACTTAATTTTTTTTGTTCAATAAATAATTTAAGAAAACAAATATCAAACAGTTTGTTGACAAACCTTTAATGGCTTGAATTTTGAGAAACCTTACTAGATTATATAAAAATTAGCTATTTACTTGTTAGAATTAATTACTAAAGTTATTAAAACACATTTAATTTTCTTTTGTTTTCAATAAATAATTTAAGAAGACAAATGTCAAAAGTTTGTTGACACATGGCAACCTCTCATGGCTTGAACTTTGAGAAACCTTACTATATTATATAAGATGTTGTTTCTTTAAGATAATTTTAAAGATAGTTTATTAAAATGGTTTCACA